GCTACAGCCGTTGGAACCATGGTTGTTATTCAGGTTGGTATAAACTTATAGTACTTTGTCTGACTCGTGCATGATCATCTACTTCAGCTAGTTAAGATGCTCTATCTTATCCATCCCAGGGTGGAATTGGTCCAGCTGGTTTGTCAGCCGAGGATCTTCATGTTCTGGACCTTACACAACAACGCCCACGATGGCACAGGTTAGCATTTAGCAGTTCAAGTAATGACTTTGTTTCAATGAACATGGTGTATGCTGGTGAGGTGTGAAATATGGAAGTGGTGATCAACTACTGAAATAATTCTGATTTTTTCAGGGTTGTGGTCCAAGGACCTGGTCCAGGGCCACGTTATGGCCACGTCATGGCCTTGGTAGGGCAAAGATATCTCATGGCTATTGGTGGAAATGATGGTCAGTCTCGTTAAAAGGCCCTCCCCATCTAAGCATAGAAAGTTCAGGAAATAAAAAAGTTGATCCCTTATTTTCAGGAAAACGACCTCTAGCGGATGTTTGGGCTTTGGATACAGCTGCCAAGCCATATGAATGGCGCAAATTGGAACCTGAGGGTGAAGGTCCACCTCCTTGCATGTAAATTTCATGATCTCTTTCTTGAAGATGTGTATTTTAGTTCCTCATTGTACATGACTTTCATATTTTCTTGTTACTTTTGACTGTATTCTATTTGCTTTTCTGAACTTTATGTTCTTTATTACATGGTGAAGAACCTGAGTTTTGTTTGTACATATCAATCAAAGAAGTAGCATGTGGTAAACAGTGGCAGTCTTCAGTGACTGTTTTTATGATTTATTGTTTGGAAGAATGAACCTGATCCCTTGACAAGGGAGGGATGGCCAACAGGTAAGTAACTCTCTCCTCCAACCACAAGGTTGGAGTTTCAAGTCACCAAGGAATCAAAGTGGGAAAGAGTTATTGTTGGGCTCCTAAGGGGTTTGGTTGTGGGGTTATCCATATAAGAAAATGCACCTGATCTTTTGTACTCTATTCATAAAAGAAAATGCCTCAAGGTCATTTCTTGAGATTTACTTACATGGTGATGATTTTGTTATCTATACCCGAGTTCCAAGTCCAATAATCCAGTTTTTTTTTTTCTTAAGGGAGGGGGTGTCTTCATTTCTTTGGCTTATAAAAGTATGTGTTGACTTATTAGAATTATGATGGATTATTGACATCTAAAAAGCTGGCTAGTTTGCGAGTGGGGTGTGCATTTGACGGCAAATAATTTAAGGAAATGAAATTGCATCATAGTTCATTGGTTTTGCTTGCGTATAAAGTAGGCAGGAAGTGAACCATCTTCTGGTGCACTTTTGCGATAGAGTTATTAGCTTTGTTCCTTTTCATTTTTCAACAATATGTGAACGCTACCTGAAACAGTTGCAAAGTCCTCGACTGGTTGGAAGATGAAGAAGCTGGATACCAGAAATAAAGAGCTGTAGAAGGTCACTCCTCATTTTCTTTTCTTGTTAATTTGAAAGGAAAGAAATACGATACTTAAGTGTGTAGAAAATCCTTTTGAGGAGAGCTATGAGCTCCCTTTTGTTTAATATATGCTTTTGGTGTTATAAAGATATTCCATATTGTATTCGATATAAACCATACTTATCAAATATTGGAGGAAAAGAAACAATAGATGTTTTGAATATACTAGCAGGTCCATTCAAGTAGTTAAAATGAATTGTATTTTAGATCTTCAATTTTGGTGGTGTAAAGAGTCTTCCGTAGTAGATGCTGAATCTATTTTTGAATTTTTGGAAGCCTTGTAAAATACACAAGGGCTGTAGCTTGTAAATTCTGTTGCCAGTACAGACGAATACAATGTTATCATTCTCAAAAGAAAAAAAAATTGTGCGTGACATGATATCGGGAAATTTCTTAGATCTTTTTACTTTTAAAAAGAAGTATTGAGCTTGTTATAGCTGCAAGTGCAATATTAGGGAACAACATTTGAGATGGTTTGATTATGTCCTATGTAGACCTCTAGATGCACATTGAAAAAAGTTGTTTCAAAGACATAGAATCTCTTGAAATTTAAGACTTGGAGAAAAATAGGTTATAATGAAAGAAAATGATCCATATATGTGATACCAATTTGTTGGGATTGAGGCTTAGTCATATTGGTAAACTCACTTTAGGTTCAATATTTTTTTGGAGTCTTTTAATAATGTTGGAAATTTGTTAAGAAATTTAGAGCTTTCAAGTGTTAGAGAACATATTTTTTTTATAATTTGAATAGAACTGAGTCGAAATGAAGCGATTTGGATAGTAATAATTCATATAGCCGGCTCAACTAGCTTCATTGTGAAATTGAGTTGTTATATTGGTTAATCATTCCAACTGATAATTTACTCGAAAGTATTTTCCATGAGATTTAAATTTAGCTTTTAACGTAGCATGTGATGTGTGGATTCGGTGAATTCCACGGGTTCAAGCCCTGGCGCAGACAAAAGCCTGGATTGGAGAATGTTAGGGGGCATTATCCACCGAGTCTCAAATTGTGTGCCACTAGCCATCGGGGATTTCTCGGCTATAAAACAAGAGTTATCAATTTCTCTTTACTGGTGCGCAACACAAACTTCTTTTCCGTACTAGTGTTGACATGAGATAACTATGTTGTGGAATTTGTTCACTACACTCAAGAGAATCAAGAGGCGTTACTACGTATTGTAAATAAAGCATGTGGACTACTTAATAAAGACTTGCGAGGAAAATGACATTCTTTTTCTGTATTGTCTTTAGAGTAGAGAAATAATCATAAGTTTAAGAAGTAGATCCTTTAAATCAAGATTTTAAAGTTGCAAAGTTGTTATACATTTTAAGTCACATGCTTTTTACCATATCCTTGATCCTCCGTCAACATTTTGCTCACTTCCTTGTATTCGACGCTTTCGAACATTTGACACATCAAAATATAAATTTACTTCCAACACGTGAAACATTTGGTGTATCAAAACCATTAGAGATATGATGGTAGGATGGAAGTTCAAATGGACGAGTCGGATAAGGAGATCACTCGTGTGGACAATTTGGTAAGAAGAGACCCACAGAGCATTCGAAGGAGTTGAAAATACTGTCATACAACTTAGTGGAATCTTCTTATTTTTTTGAGTAAGGTAACAATATATTCATCAGCACCAAGTTGGTACTGGTATCCAAAAAAAGAATGTACAAATTACAGAGGGCCTTGTATCTTACAAAGTATCTAAGAAATCCACAAGTGATTTTGCATCCTCTATATAGTTTTCTTTACACCAGAATTGAAAAGACAAAAAACAATTCAGCTTAATTCTTTCTATGGAACTAATTTTATCCTCAAAACAATACGATTCCTTTCTGTCCACACCGTCCACCATATACATGCTGGCACCATTCTCCACCATAGCTTCTGACTCTTCCTTGTTTCAATATAATTCCAGCACCACAAAAGGTCCTTGGTATTCTTTGGCATTACCCATCGTATTCCTGCCAGGGAAAGGAATAACTGCCACAGAGTATCAGTTACCTTTTTTTATAAGGTGTTTCATTAAAGGCATCAAGAAGATGCTATAAAGTTACAAAGTGTAAGTCCTTGGTTAACTCTATAAGACAAAAAACCTATATAGCTATGAGTTAACCAAGACCAAAAACCAAATAGAATGACTATTAAGCCATATTAAGAGAGCCAATAAAATCTAAGATGGGAATAACATCATTTACAGGGGAGAGGTTACTCCAACTAAACAGGTTCATTAGACACTTAGATTTCAGAAGGCCGGTGGAAGTTGAGATGCCTTCAAAACACGTGCTGTTCTTTCCTGGCCATATACACCAACAAATACATGCTGGGATCATTTGCCAGGTTTTTTTTAATGGTTTTACCAACTTTCCAGGATCATTCGCCTTCGATGGCTTCCTTGATATCCTGAGGAATGGCCAACTGAGGCAAAAAACTACTAAGAACATATTCCATATATCTGTTGCCACTGGACAGTGCAAGAAAAGGTGGTTCACTGATTCTGCATTGCTGTAGCACATGTAGCATCTGTTGACTAGTTGGAAGTTTCTTCTGCATAGGCTGTCCTGGGTCAAGGCAGCATTTCTGAGAGCAATCCAAGAAAAGCACATAACTTTTGTAGGTAGTTTTGACCTCCATATATGCTTCCATGGCCAATTATCTATCATTCCATTGGATTTACATAGTTTGTTGTACCCAGCCTTCACTGTATAATTACCCTTGCTAGAATTGCCCCACTTTAATCTGTCTTGAGTTTGGAGGTCTATGGAGAAACCTTTAATAATTCTGTAGAGGTCAAAGAGTTCATCTAGTTCCCAATCCTGCATGTTCCTTCTGAAAAGAGGTTCCCATATGTTCCCTGCTCTGTTCTGGGCTATTGTTGAGTCAGGATCAATAGCTATCTGATATATGCCAGGGTGGGAATCTTTTAGAGGTTGGTTTTGAAGCCACCTATCCTTCCAGAATTTGACAGAGTTACCATTTCCTGCTTTGAAGGATACCTCTTGAAAGAATTCCTCTTTCATATTGTTGATATGTTTCCAAGGCCCTACTCCATATGGAGCCCTGCTTTTCTTTGTGCTCCAATTGTCTAGCTTCCCATACTTTGTTGTTACCACTTTTTTCCATATGCTGGTGCTTTCTTGTGCATACCTCCACCACCATTTCAATAGTAGGCTCTTGTTGTGCTTTTGCAGGTCTCTGATACCTAGACCGCCTTGGTTCTTTGGCATGATGACTTTGGACCACTTAACCAGGTGGAATTTATGGCCTTCACTATTGCCCTCCCATAGAAAAGTTCTTCTGATTTTGTCCAGTTGCTTTTGGACATTGCTTGGCATAGGAAAGAGAGACATGATGTAGGTTGGAATGCTATCCAGAACACTATTGATCAGTGTCAATCTCCCCCCATCGACAAATATTGCATTTTCCATGTTGCCAATCTATTCTCAACCTTTTCAGTGACCCCATTCCAGACTTCAGTTGCTTTGTATTTTGCTCCTAAAGGAAGGCCTAGGTATGTTGTAGGGAAATGGCCAATGCCACAACCCATAATTCCAGCTAGTTCCTCCAGATTAGGAACCTCATTCACAGAGTAGATCACACTTTTTGCCATATTGATGTGTAGCCCTGAGATGGCTTCAAAAAGGAGAAGTGTCAAGTTTAGGTATTGAACTTGAAGCTTCTCTGCCCCACAAAAAATTAGGGTGTCATATGCATATAGCAAATGAGAAACTGAAACTGGGATGTCAGAATTGTTGCCCACCTTAAACCCTTCTAACCACTGCATTTGTTTTGCCTTGTCAAGCATTTGCTCAAACCCTCCATGGCTAAGATGAATAAGAAGGGAGACATGGGGTCTCCTTGCCTTATCCCTTTTTGTGGGGAGAAGAAACCTACTGGGGTTTTGTTGATTAGGATGGAGTATTTAACAGTGGTCAGGCTAAACTTGATCCATCTAATCCATCTGTCCCCAAACCCCATATCTTTCAGCATGGAAAGCAAGTCCAATTGACTTTATCAAATGCTTTATCTACATCTAGCTTGCATAGAATGCCTGGGACCCCACTCTTTAACCTCCCATCCAGCAACTCATTTGCTACAAGAGAAGCATTTGTGATTTGCCTGCTTTTCAGGAATGCATTTTGCTCTTCTGATACCAATTTCCAAATGACTGTCTTCAACCTTTCTGCTAAGAGTTTGGCTATGATTTTGTATACACTTCCAATGAGACTTATAGGCCTGAAGTCTCTGAGCTCTATTGCACCTTTCTTTTTGGGGACTAGTGTGATAAAAGAGGCATTGCATGATCTTACCTTGTAACAATGCTGATGGAAGTGGTTAATAGCACCCATTATGTCTGCTTTGATTATGTCCCATGCTTTTTGATAGAAAGCCATTGTAAATCCATCAGGGCCTAGGCTTTTATCAGGAGCACAAGAGTTGATTGCTGCCTTCACTTCCTCTTCTTCAAAAGCTCTTTCTAGCCATATCTTCTCATCTACTGTTAGGGAAGCTAGATTTTCAAACTTAGCACTAGGCCTCCAAGGTTCATTTTCAGTGTACAAGTCTTGATAGAAAGTCGGGATTTCAGCCTTAATCTCCTCACTGCCCTCACTAATTTCCTCCCTAATCATCAGTTTGTGTATGCAATTATTCCTTCTGTGGGAGTTGGCCATTTTCTGAAAAAATTTGGTGTTTCTATCTCTTTGAGCCATAGACACCTAGACTTTTGCCTCCACGAGACCTCTTCTGCCTTTGCCAACTGTTGCAGCTCCAGCTTAATGTGCATTGAATCTTCTTTTTCAGCTTGTGTCATTAGTCTGTTTTCGGTTTCTACTTCCATTAGAGCTAGAGCTTCCAAAAGTTTGGTCTTCCTTGCTTCCAGTTGGCCAAAAGACTCCTTGTTCCAACTGGTGATGTCTTTTTTCAGACACCTTAGTTTCTGCAGCAATATGAAGTCAGGGCTTCCATCAATTGCATAGCTGAGCCACCATTCCTTAACCTTGTTCATGAAGCCTTCAGCCTGAAGCCACATATTTTCAAACTTGAAATATGAAGGGTTGGCTGCCCAGTCACCACATTGTAGTAGCAAGGGTCTGTGGTCAGAGACAACTCTAGGGAGGGCTATTTGCTTGATTGCTTTGAAGTTGTCATTCCATTCTAGGGAGATGAGGAACCTGTCAATTCTGGATGCCTGCAGTGAGTCTTCACCCCTAAACCAAGTGTAGTGAGCCCCCTGGAAAGGCAAGTCTATGATGCCCAGATCTTGTATGATTTCATTTAAGGATTTCATGGCCCTGGACCTCCTTATGCAGTTATATCTTTCACTCTCGTATCTACAAACATTGAAATCACCACCTATGACCCATTGATCTTCCCATATTCCTCTGATGGCTGCAAGTTCATGCCTAAAAATCTCTCTTTCTGAGTTATTGTGAGGCCCATAAATCCCTGTGAAGCACCATCTGAAGTTCTCTATTGCACTTTCAAACATGCATGAAATTGTGTAATGGCCTTGGTGCACTCCTCTGTTGAGCCATTTTCTTTTGTCCCAAAGAACAATGATACCACCACTTCTTCCGATTGAATTTAGTACTACCCAGTCAACCCATCTATTACCCCAGACTTGCCTAATCCACTATGGAGGCCATTTTTCTATTTTTGTTTCTTGGAGGCAGACTATGTCTGCTTTCCATTTGTTAATCAGTGACTTTATTGTGCTTCTTTTTTCCGCCTCATTTAGTCCCCTCACATTCCAGCTTTAAATTTTGATCTTCATCCAGAAAAGGCTTTGTAGTGCCTGTCCCTTTCCCCTGCCTTCTTACCATCATAATTCATTCCCCATCTCAGCCTTTCCAATTCTAATGACTGTTTCTTCTACCCTTTTGTGATTGCCTTGATTGTTGTTTTCTGCTTCTGAATTTGTTCTTACCTTTTTTGTTCCATTATAAGGACCATGGCAAAAATTTCGTGTTGGAACCTCACAACATTAACCCCAAAAACCTTGCACGCTTTGAGCATAACTGACTTGGTTCATCTTGAGGTTTCAATAACTGCTGGTGGATCCATGTCTTGTGAATTTGGATGACCCATACCATACCAAGGAAGAGAGAGTGTATCACAAGAGGAAATACCAGCTTCAGAGCTGCTTACAATTCCCAAAAAATTCGACATTCTTGGTACGATCTGGTTCATTGGTTCTGCCTCGTCATCTGCGTCTGAGGGGGATTCGCATGCAAAAGATAGAGTCTGCTGCTCTGAGACTTGGTCTTCTTCTGCTGCTTCAATTTCGACGAAGAGGGGGTCAAACTATTTGACTGTGGGAGTGGGCTATTGCGTTTGGAGCATGGATCAATAAGAGGCCCAATAGCCTTCTATTTTTGTTTATAGGTGTTGCGTTTATTTTGGTGTTTACCCTTTGGGCCTTTGGTGCCTTTTGAATAGTGGGCATGGGCCAAACTGTGGCCCAAATTTTTAACCGCATCTTTACCCTTTTTATTGGTAGGGTTTGGTGGAATCTTACGTGGCTACTCATTTAATGCGTTTGAATTAACGGGGCTCTAATGTCTGAGCATAGTACTATTACCCATCGGTTCTTCCCCTGTCATCTTCGAGAAGCTCGAGGAAGCCTCCATCAGCGTCTCCTTCTGTTTTCTTACCGCTGTCTTCCGCCCCATCTCCACTATCGGTTCCTTCATCCTTTCCTTCACCCCGATATTCCTATCTTCTTCTTGTATTATCTTGGTTAATTGGTCCTCTACAATTGAGATTTTGAATTTCAGATTGTCAACCACCAGTGTCATCTCCTTTGGGAGGTCGATTCCCTTGCTATGAACACAGATACGGGCCCAAAATAAATTAAATCCGTGTTTTGTATCTTCATCTATTCCGACAAAACCACCACATAGGTTACCGATATAGCGAAAGGTGTTCATTGTCCACCCATGCAAAGGGACACCAAACGCCTTTATCCATTTTTGCCCAGCTTCATTCTTCGCCAGAGTGGACCCTGCCTCTAGAGACCACCACTCTAAGGATAGATGTCTACCGTTCCAATACCAATCTCCTGCTTTCACTCTTGCAGCCTCTTGCCTTGATGGAAGTTTGAAAAGGAATTGGTTGTGAGCTAAAGGAGTGATTCTTAGACCCGCCGTCACCTGCCATCTTTTGAGGAACCACTGTTGTATTATCTCAGGATTAGGGCTTGAGTGGAAAGGATCGTTGAAACATCCAACCAAGCACTTTGCTAGAAATTTAGAGCACTTTGGGGAGTAATCACCATTTTCTTGCTGTGAAGGCCATTTTGTGATTTCTGCAGCGGACAAGAAGGATTTTTCCCCTAAGTCTTTAATTTCCTTGTATTTGTAATTTGAAGCTTCCCCCATAAATTGTAATAACTTCCCTGCAATGTCACCCCATCCCTTGTTGTAAGCAGCTTCTGGAATGATGATACCTTTTTCCCTTTCCCCTACCCATGTTTCAATTCTGAGATATCTGCCATGAATGTTGTAGCTTTGATAGACTCTATATGTGTACGTTTGAATCTTTCTCCCCTATCTTCTGTAAAGATTTTCATGACCACGAGAGGCTTGCTGCATTTGTTCACATACCCATCTTAAATTGTTTTCATCGATCTTAATCTGACTGGTGAATCTATGGCCACGTTTGATCTAGACATACCATCTGTCAAGCCCCTCACAATCTTCAATAAGTTCGAAAGATTTATTGCCAGCTATGAAAAAAGATTTCCTTCCCATTGATTAAAAGAAACTGAAATCACCGGCGTAAAGAGCCATCAGAAGAGTTAGGAGCGAGACTAGTAAAAGAAAAAGAGAGGCAAATGGTTAATCATTCCAAATTCTACAGTTCCATTGTCTTTGACAGTAGCTATTCTCTTCAACAATTTGAGCTGCAGTATTTTCCGTCTTGCAATGTAGAAAGAGATGGCTATTGGTTTCTTCCTCCTTCTGACACAAGAAACATCTGGAAGTCATAGAAATTCCCCTTCTCCGCAAAACCTCATCAGTGAGACAAGCTTTCCTGGCCACCAGCCAAGAAAAACATGTGACCTTAAGAGGGGCTTTAATCTTCCATATGTATTTCCATGGCCAACTAGATAATTGAGCACCTTCTTACAAAAAAGAATATGCAGAACTGACTGTAAACCTTCTCGTGTTTCCTCCATTCCATATCACTGTATCCTTGTTACGTCCCGCAATATTATGTCGATATTACGTCCCGCAGAATTAAATCACGACGATGTTGCACCCTGTAGTATTGTACGTTGAAATTATCGTAAAGTAATTGACATTAGTCCAAGGAAAAAGATTATTTGGAGATTATAAGGATTATGTTATTTAAACAAATGATAGAATAAATTCGTGAAGGTGAGAGGGGAAGCAAGTCAAAGAAGATGAATTTTTCGTCCAAGTTTAGCATATTGGGATAAAATACGGGCCGAGCGTTGATACTCCATATTTATGGACTAGTGCCATATAAGGTACTACATGACCATGATAGTAAGATGTACAAGGTATGTTAAAAGCGAGTAATATTTTAAATAAGTTGAGATAATTCTTAATTATGCGGGTAATTGGTAACGGGACATTGCCTAATTAATTGGGGATAGATTGGATAAGAATTGCATCCACCAACGTGGCTGCACATCAAAGCCAGCAAAGTCACAAAAATGTGACTCTTAAAGTCCACATATAGGTGGCACATTTAGAATAATAGTTGGCCAACTCATCCACAAAGTGGGGGGCCCACAAATCTCCAACAAGATAAAGAGATTATTAGACAATTCAAAGAAAAAAAAGCTTATGGAGGGGCTGCCTTGCAAAAAATATGGAGAAAGGAAATTCCTTGCTGGTCTCTGACTTAAGCGGACAACTTAATGAGTTTAGTGTCCTGGGACGAGACAAGGATGCAAAAGTCAATCCACAAGACAAAATATATTCATGTCGAGAGTATGATTGCTTTCATGTGATGGAAACAATGAGAATAAAGTACGAAGTTAGATATGTCATGATCATTTATGAGGATCTTTCACTATTTTATAAGGTTCAAACGTACATCTCATACATGCAACAATTAATAAGGTGATTGTTATCTTACTAGTGGTCACGACAAAGAGGTGCAATCTTTCTCAAGAATATCATATGGGTTTTTCCCTACTTCGATCCGCCGTTATGTGTTGTCGCAAGTGACGTGTGTTAGAGGGATTGTCAAGAGAATCAGCTCAGGTATGTTAAGGCTATCCCTTCTTTCTTCTGGCATGATCCATACGATGCAAACGAAAAGAGCCAATGCATAATTTCCATAAATGGCTCTATTCATAGAAATACTAGAGATGCTTATGTTCTTGATTCCTCATG